CCCCAAAACCCCAAAACCCCAAAACCCCAAAACCCCAACTAATTTTCAAGAAATTGAACTTTATTTATCTTCCATTTTGTTACCAGCCATTCTTGTCTTCTTCTCCCTTTTGAATGTTGTTTTAGTGCCTTGCATCTCTTGGCTTCTCATTGCTTTGAATTCAGCAGATTCCTCCTCAAGTATTCTTCTGACTCTCTTACGTTCGAGATCAACTCTTCTAATTCTGCTTGATTCCTATTAAAAAGATTAGTTTATGAACTTTTGCTGTAAATTGTATGCTCTTTTCAGAAAAGAAACCTGGACCCATCTAACACTACAAAAAGTATAAATCAAGACTACTATAAATGCTTGTCTAAACTTCTTGCTATTCAAATACAAGCATTGTAAGCCTGTTGAGTAGCATTACCTCTTGCATTCGGACTTTCTGAATCATCTCTGTGTCTTTCTTAAGCTCACGTTTAGCATCTCTCATGGCCTTCTTATATTCCTTCTTAAGCTTCTTCTCTTCCCGAACCTCTGGGTCTTCATGATCTTTTGCAAATTTAAAGGTTTTGATAGGTGCGACCTGTGCCTTCTGCAGCTGTAGGACAGATTTCATGACAGGTGTATGACTCAGAATTGGATGCAAACTCTCATCGACATATTTTCCAAACTTAATAGACTCTGTAACAGCAATTACGTCTGGAAGATCTAGGATGTAATCTCTGTACTCAGACCATCTGTAGAACTTGTCTAGAGACTTTACTAGAAGTGCTGTTCAGTTTATAAAGGCCTTCACTGAGGTAGCATCTAGTTCTGAATGGAGAAATAGATCCAACATGCTCATTTTTCTAGCAGGGTCTGCCTTAGGCAAAGAGACCTCTTTGATAAACTTTAGAATTTTTACTCATGAGGAGACTAAATATGGGCAGTATTTTCCTTGAATGTTTTCTTTATTTACTATCTCTTCCAAAAGCAAACTTGAAGTACAGAGCAAGAAGGTTCAATCGCTGTAACTCTTACTAAGAACAGGATTGATTTTATCCAAGAGATTTCCAATCACAAGCAAAATTGTATGCATGATCTTCAAGTTTTTCTCTGTCCCCATAACCTTTGTTCACAATCTAAGGAAGAAAAATACATCTTTTTGGAAAACTTTTGGGAATCCAGCTGATTCTTCTGTGTCTCCTAAAGAATGTAAATAAAGATCTTACCTTTATCAATCTTGTCTTGAACAACAGATATTAATTTGGTATATGCATTTAGCTTATTTTTGATATAATCTAAGAATGTCTCTGGGAGTAATCCTGCCATTTCATAGATATTCTTATAATAAGCTTCGATATAGTTAATCCCATTTTCCATATCGTTATACTCTAACTTTTTGACACTTTCGTCATACTTCTTGAACATGAATTTGAACAAATTCCTGTTTAGATTTAACTGTAACTCTCTTGCATCTTTAGACTGCTCTTTTAACTCGATCTCTACTCTTTCTCTCTGCTCTTGTGAGTAATCAGCGAGGATTGAGTTGTAATCTCTCATTCTCTTTAAGTATACACATACCTCTTCTGGAATAAAGTTCTTTACTTCGTCACAGAAATCTGAGTAAGAGCTAGGGATGTTAATAACATATGGAAGAAGTTTCACTCTTTCCCAAGCTGATTCAGGCATTTTCTCAATATAATCTTCTTCGTTAATGATCTTAAGTAATCTGATTCTTGCTTTAAAATTCTTTTCTTCATCTTCTTTATAATCTTCTGCTGTATTTTTGGCTGTCATTTTGGCAACTCTCTTCTTCATCATTGCTCTTTTCTTGAAATCGCCCTGGGCTCTTATTGCCTTCTTATGGACTCTCTTCATCCTATGTAATGATCTCTTGTTTCCCATTTATAAACACTCTAAATTTGTTTCAATTAATTTTAATTTTTCTGGGGTTTTGGGGTTTTGGGGTTTTGGGGTTTTGGGGTTTTGGGG